GAACACTTAGAGGTGCACTGTGAAAGGCGTGGCACTCTTCCTTGCCTTTAATTTCATTTTGAGCTCTTTTCCTGTATTAGACAGCTCACAGCTAACAGATTTGGGCATGTTTGGGACCCGAGTTGCCACCAACTATTCAGCCCCCTCTCCTGCTCCCACACAAATAAATCAAACCCCCTTAAATATCTTCCTCCTCGGGCTGACGTCAGAGCATTGAGTTTTCCATGTTACTCTCTGCCTCCACAGCAACCCGGGGGGCGACCCACCCCCCCTTGACCTGACCCAAGGAGACACCCCTTTACCCCCCCCCCCCCCTCTGAAGGGTATTGTTCCCAGCACTTGAATGGACTCCACTAACTCATCTGGGCATGGATAGCAGTGTACAAAAGCCAAGGAAAGCAGGGGCTGAGACAAAACCAGCACTGACTTACATGTTGGATTAGCTTGTGCTGGTGAAACACTTGTTTTTACTCCAGTAGTAACACACACTCTATATGCATATAAGCTATAATCAATATATCTGTACTTTGGCACAAAGTTTCAGGAAATGCAAAAGCCCCAAAGGAGCACTACACACTAATCATATTTGTTTACATTTTAATTTTGTGATAGGTTACTTCCTGGTTTTAATTAAAAATCATGAGTATTTTACACTCTTGTATAAAGAAACTTTTCAAATAGTTTAAATGGAGAACTTTAACTACTTTTCTTTATGGAGGAAAAATGAAATGTAATGTAGCAAGCATTTCTAAGTATTTTTTATTTATTTATTTATTTTAAACTGATGCTGTCAAGTCCTACAGAGAAATACTGAGATACACAGTCATGACGTTTATGCACAGCAAAGCAACAGATTCAGGGCTTGAACTACACCAAATCACCAAAATGATGTAATTTTGGACCTGGACTGCATTGCAGAACACCTCGACTGACACCTCAGAGAAAACCCCCACAAAAGAGCAGGAAGGTTAAACGCTCATCGCCTCACTAAAATGCTTCCTCACGGTGCAACGACTCTCCACACCTGAGTTACACACCGCACATTCACAAACACATAACACATACACACACAGAGCGTGATGATGCGGCGGTTACCGTCCCGCTTGACTCACCGGACGGACGACAGGGCTCCGACGCCGTTGGTGTTAGCGAAAGATACTTTTCAGAGGAGAAAATCTTGCGTGGTCTTCTCGGGCTGTCAGCCCTGTCAGGTGAGCTGCTGGCCGAGCTGCGGGTCAATGCGAGGCTCCACGGCAGCAGCGGCAGACTGTAGCGCTGCTCTCAGCTTCCTCGTACGTGATTGGGCCAGGTGGAACGGGCGCATGCACGTGCCGCTCACCCTCCTCGCGCGCGCTAGCGTGTGAGCACTGGTGCAATCACAAGGCGGAAAACAGCGCTGAAGGTGGGCTAGGTGAGGAGCTGGGTATAAGTGGGTATGTTTAATTAGGCGTGAGCACAGGTGGAGCGTAACATGTATTTATGCAACATTAAACCTCCCCGCGTTTGGCGCTGTTATTCTTATTTACGTGTAAGTAAAGCCAGGATCAGTGTTGCTGATACTTTTAACCTATAAAGGCAGCTTATGTAGGGGAGATCTGTGTGTCATGATTCATCATTAATTTGTAAACCCTGAACACGTTTTAATGACCACAAAATCACCAGTGGTGATATATACCTATAAAAATAATTAGTTAACACAACAAAACCACGTTTCAGTTTTTGGTGTATTTTGAAACGTGTTTTTTTCTTCTTTTTTCGGGGGGAGACCTGGAGTGTAAAAGTACCTGTCTCTAAACTCTGGCTCAGCTTCTGTTTTTAGCGTGTTATTTAAATAAAATAGACATGACAGTCAACAAAAAACGGTAGAGACATTTTTCATAGTTCATGTTTAAAACCAGGATTGGTATCGATACTGTCAACATTTCGATCAATCTGCACACCTGTAACACTATCTTTAATTCAAACCTTTTGTTATTTAGCTGCCTATGATTTATTTGTTTTTGTTTTTTGTATTTACACTATGAATACTTTAAACCAGGGGTAGGCAACCTTTCTGATGACGAGTGCCATTTAAAATTTCCTCAGAAGTCAGTGTGCCATATGATTGCTTTAGCAATAAATTTAATAACGCTCTATATGAACAGTTACGCAATATATAGAACCACTTTATAGAATTATATTTGTTTGCAGATGTTGGCAGCTATCAGCGAATAGTTATCAGCTGTTTTGAAACAAAAAAAATACACTTTTTATCCATAACAAGAACTCCATGACAGCAAATGAACTGTACAACAGAAAATACAAATGCTATTTATGGTCTCCTCACAACAATTATTAGAGAAATAAACTGGGCCAATATGGCATGTTTGTTAATATTCAACCCAACCCTTAAACTCATTCATGTTAACTAAAAGGTAAACCTGTTTCTCCATCACCTGTTCAGCTCTGATGATCCAGTAAGGACATCTCCTGGTTTCATCTTCATGTTTCCCTCTCACCAGATAACCAAACCGACATCATGACCAGCAGGTTTTACAGCTGTGGCTCCAGCAAACATCAGCTACTAGAAATAAATATTAAATAAATTCTAACAACACCTGATCAAACTTAAACGTGCTGCTGTTGTTTAGCGCGACATCCGGTGGTTTCCTCTTTTTGGGGCAAAGTGGGCGATAAACAAACAAGAGAGAAAAGCGATCAGCTGATCATTGATCAGTTTCATGATTGAAGTAGCAACAGCAGAGCGAGGGGAGAGAATGAGAGAAGAAGAGGCGGCTGTGCTGAGTAACAGAATAAATCCACCTTTGTGTCTTTTTCCATTCTAGCTGAAGTACGGGACAAACTGTGTCCCTTCTCAGCTCAACACCAAACACGTAATTTAGGTAATTTACGTGGTTAGGTTGGCAACTCTACTAACCTTATGAATAAAATAAAGTTCACTATCAGTAACATCAAAGCACAAACCCAGCTGTACAGAAACTCTGTCATGCTAGCTCAGGCAGTACGAGTTATTGTAACTGACTGTAAAAAGTCAGCACAACGAAAATAAACTCCACCTAAACTTGGTTTATATCTGACCCAGATAGACTGCAGGCCATAACGTCTTACCTGAAGTTCAGTTCACCTGACACTCGGACCGGCGGCCACCTCGGGTCTCTCCTCTTGCCTCCCCTTTCTCTCATCCACCTGCTGGCCTCCACCACTTATTAATGTTACTGAATCTGTGGAAGCTCCGCCATAGCCACCACCAAACAACTGAGTTAGTTTTTTACACACCGACCAGCATCTGGCCAATCCACCACTTTCATTGTTTAAACGGTTACAAAAAATAAATAAATAAAAATCATCGGGCCACAGACCAAATGCCCGGTATGCCCGATGGCCAGTCCACCCTTCGGGTGTCAACTGTGGCACGCGTGCCTCGGGTTGCCGACCCCTGCTTTAGACACTTCACACAACACATCTTCTCTAAAGAAAAACGTGAAAAATTAACATGTTGCTAGTTTACCCTAAAAAAAATAAATCGGCGTTATTTTAGCAAGTCGAAATTTTGAGAAACCTAACTTAAACTTTTCAGAAATAAGCTAATCATTTCAATCAATTTGTTTTTTGGTTTTTTTGCTTCATTAATTATTTGTTATTTCAGCTACTAAACAAGCGGTTCCCATTTCAGGTATTTCAGAAGTGGTGGTGGGGGTGTAAGTTTCTTTAAAGGCGGACTCCCCCATGTACCTCACAGTGGTTTGATCCACTGCCTGCCATTCCCTAACTCCTTAAGTTTGCAAACTGTAAACAAAGGTTGTGTGACACACTGTTATTATAACGCTCAGTAAAATTAAACGTAGCTACTGTTGGAACCACACAACATTTTACTAGCTTCGTTACGTCACCGATAGGTCCTGTGCTTTAATGTAGATACTTCATTAGTATGGGACTATGTATTTGTGGAAAGAGGCAGGCACATTAAAATTTGTAAATTTGTTATAAGTTATTGAATTTTGATTTTTTTTGGGGTGGGGGGGTGGGGGGGGTGATATTTTGATAAATCTGATATCAAACAATTACAACATTATTTAACTTCCATCCAACCCGACCCTGTCCCAGTAGTCATAGGTAAGAAGTGCATGTCATAGCCACCCCTATGGTGGATGTGACATGCGTGTTTAGACTGCAGGAGCTCACACAGACTCGAGGAGAATGTGCAAACTTCACACAGTCAGGCCTCAGCTGAAACCCAGAATCTTCTGCACTATTCCATTTAATTCAATCTAAGGGAATTTCCCAATTATTTCAACAGTTTCACATTTCAAATGCTCTCAAAATACCAAGATTCTGTTTAGCTAAAAAAAAAATTATGTAAAATGCATTTTAAAATGATTAATTAGTTTCTACTTTGTGAAAGTCAAAAACGTGAATGAGATTCCTTTTTTTCCCCCGAGCAATGGAAAACATTTACCTCATGCCCCCGACATCCCCAACCCAAGACTTCATTTGTTGGCGTGGGACACTGAAAGGCCTCATTTGTGCCTGCAGATAAAACATGTCACTGATTTCATGATGAACATCCTCAAAGCTTTTCCCCGAGGATTAACAGGATCCTGCCAAATGTATAATTGTGGGTGTGGTGGGCTCATCATTGTGAAAACCTACAGAGGGATCTGAAAAGACATGGAGTTAAGTAAACGCAGACAAGCCCCAGTGAAATGGCTCCACGCTCTAGAACTGCTGGGTAAACTACATCAATCTGAATCCATATGTCAGAATGCAGCAGGCTGCAGACTGATGTATCACAGCAGCCTGTGTGAAAAGGAAAGGTGGGGGGGGAAAAAAAAAGCAAAAAAAAAAAAAGCATAAATAACCCGTAAGGATATATTTTCACCAGCAGGTCAAAAGTAGCCTGCTTTTCTTTGTTGGCCCCTGGTGGTGACTTTCTATACAAGCTACTACCATTACCCCCAATTACAGCACCAACACTGAACTCTGGAGACACTTTTTTTTTAAAAATGTTTTATTTCCCCCCCAAAAAGGTTACACAACATTCAGAATCCTTTTAACTCAACATTTGTTAATGTTTCATTATTACAAAGGTAGATGCCCACTGTGACACGGTGCTACCACAGTAGCACACCATTATGCAGGTCTTTAGGAAAACAACGCCAAAGGGCAGCATTTTTGTCATACTAAAAATCAAATAGAGATTAAAAATATATAGCCATCTATTTTAAGGAACAGATTGTTGTACAAGATTCACGCTCTCACACTGCTATAGCGAGCCACAGGAGAAGTACAAATCCACAAAGTGAGGACCACACTAGCAGACAGAGCGTCCCCTTTGGAATAATCATACTTTCGCACAGCCCATCGAAGGAAACCGTACGCAGCCTATGCAAAAGAATGCTGGTGTTTAAATTTACAAAAGACAATATCTCTCAAGTTAATTGCATTTTGGTTTAAAACGTACATGTCACACACTTCTAACAAGTTTTTGATCTCAATTTCAGAAATGTGCACGTGTGCAATATGGATAAGTATGTTTGAGAACAGCACGTCTTCACTAAGGTACTGGAGTTTTCCTTTTATTTGTGCTGCGTTTAAACGTGTAAAATTGTACAGGATCCATCTCCGAGGGTGGAAGGTGCTCGTTTGCTCCATTCTCTGAACACTGGTAGCGAGCGCACCTGCTTTTAACAAGGAGACCAGACAGCATGGATTTGAGGAGAACCAATTCAAGAAATCAAGGCACATCTATTGACATAAGGCTGATCCTTCATTTTATCAACACTTTTACCCATTCAACTGCGAGCCCTGAATGTAGACAAAACAACAACAATAAAACCCCCAGAAGTCCTAAAAACAGAGGGATTGTGTAAAGGTCATCTGAACTGCCATCTCTTTGCACGGAGTGTTTTAAACATTTGGGAAAACTTTGGTTTTTGCACAAATGTGGGGATGGACAGCCATCTAGCTCATCCAGAGGAAGAAGTCAGTTACAGTAGCTTAGCATAAAATTCACAATCAGAAACATGGCTGCCTGGTTTTACCTCTGCACAAGCACACCTTGATTTCATACACTTTGGCTTTTTGTATTCATGAACTTTAGAGGTATTAGGAGGCAGGTTCCTTTCTAACCGGTGGAAAGAGTAAAGCTACCCTCGTGTCTAGTTTTTATCCTAAGCTAACCGGCTGCTGGCTTTAAACTGAGAGGACAGAGCAGATCTTACATGAGCCTCGGCAAGAAAGCAAATTCCCAAAATATCAAACTACCACTTTAATCAGAGTTTGTGGGTAAAATTGATCAATTCATTAAAGGATTTGCATTTAAAAAAAAAAAAAAAAAAAAAAAAAAAAAAGAAGCTTCCTGCTTATCTTTTGCAAAGCATTCATCGTCTGATAAGAGCAGTATAAAGAATGTGAGTAAAACGGCAGTTGTTTTGATCCCATAGCTGCCCCACTTTACAAAGCCAACATGTCCACTGTGCTGGGATACAACAATCATACGCTGGAATACAAAAGGCCATGTAGAGTTTCCAAACGCGTTTACTGCAGCAACATCTGTTTGACACATCTGTCAAACAGTGCAAAAGTGCGTGTTTCAATGATGTGAAATAACCAAGAAGAAGGAAAACGATTTAACAAAGACAAATGGAATGTGGGAGGTTTTTTTTTCCGTTTTTGCATTATTTTCATTTACAGTTCTCAAAGTTCGAAAAGCAGCGAGAATAGCATTAAAGAGGGAAGAAAGCTCCTGTAGTTTCTCTGTAAATTTGACATGTCCTGTCAAATGGAGCCGAAAAGGAATGATTAGTGCTCTTCCAGCCAAGATGGACTGTCCTCGCCTGGCATTTTCAACTTGATGTGGAACTGCTTGAGTGTCTGTTCCAGCTGCTGTTGATTTCCAGCATAGTATGCAGCGATGGCATTGTGGAACAGGATGAGCTGATTATGCAGAACTTTCACCTGAGACAACAGGAGCAAAAAAGCGACACAATTAGCTGAAAGTTAACACGTGGGCAGTGATATGTAGAGCGAGCTAGCATCTAACCAACCTTGTTCTCCTCCAGGAACTTCAGCTTAACGGAGACGTCGTTTCGCATCCTCTCGTATTTCTCGCGGTGGGTCTGGAACTGCTGCTGAGACACCTCGATCTTCGGCACGGTGTTGGCGTCACGCGGCCCCAGATTCAGCTCCTCCAGATCTGTACGGTATGCATCATACTCAACCCTAGGAGTGTTTAAATATATAAATCACATCAGAAAAACGTAAACTGCGTCAAG